GTTATTCTTTTTGCTGTTGTTGTTGTTATATCATTCTTTTAATTTGTATCTATCCATCTTTTGTTTTTCGTCCCTCAAATTCAAGTATTGTGATCATTACTACTCTTCTTGTTTATTTGTTATGTTGGCATTACCTTGTTCCGTGATCAGGTGTGATAACCACATTATCACTACTACTACTACTAATAATAATAATAATGTAGTTGGAGCACTCCTATTCATTGGAAAAGGTCCCGACGGACTAATGGTAAGCTAAGCCTTAAAGAAATACAAAAAATTATACTCACAAAGTACAGTTCACACCTTACGAAGAGCTTTATGTATGTAAAGGTAGGGTACCTCGACGTGGTGTAATGGTTAAGCAAGCTTCTCTCGCTAGATTCGTTACAAATGAGTAGTGAGTTCGATCCTCACTGGGTGCCCCATACTTTCGGCCTGTGCTTAGAAAATCGTTTTGAACACCTCGAGGTGGTGTAATGGTTAGCAAGCTTGTCTCGCTAGAACAATTACGAGTGAGTAGTGAGTTCGATCCTCACTGGGTGCCCCATACTTTCGGCCTTGTGACACATCTAAGCTGTGCTTAGAAAATCGTTTTGGACACCTCGAGGTGGTGTAATGGTTAGCAAGCTTGTCTCGCTAGAACAATTACGAGTGAGTAGTGAGTTCGATCCTCATTGGGTTCCCCATACTTTCGGCCTTGTGCCACATCTAAGCTGTGCTTAGAAAATCGTTTTGGGCACCTCGAGGTGGTGTAATGGTTAGCAAGCTTGTCTCGCTAGAACAATTACGACTGATCACTGAGTTCGAGCCTCACTGGGTGCCCCTTACTTTCGGCCTTGTGCCACATCCAAGCTACGCTTGGAAAATATGTAAGAGTGTATGATCTTGGACTTTTTTTGAGGGGTGCGGGGGTGTTTCTTTTAATGTTCGGTGAAAAATGTCATCATGCTGTTTCTGACCTTGGGTTTCTGGTCGGGAACCAGAAAGAAATGATTAGACACCAGAAATCAAACGGAATAATAATAATAACATTATCATTTTCTATATTTATATTTATCAATGTTTTCGTTATAATGATCACTTCATTTTTGCTATTATTACTTTCAAGACCATTATTACTGGCCTTAAATCATTCTTTGGCTATTTAACGCTCTAATGCTATTATTCTCACTTTTGTATCTCCTAAAAATATATTATTATTATTATTATTATTATTAAATATTTTCTCTCCGCTCTTCTCGCAAGCATTCGTAAAAAACTAACTGTAGTAGTTAATATCGTATTCTTATTTTATTGATATTAATTATTTATGTTACTACTACTATTAGTAGTACATTTCTTTCCACTTCTCTCAAAATCTAGTAGTAGTAGTAGTTGTTGTTGTTAATGTCATTATCATTAGTATTTCGCAATGTTTCTCCTTAACTCACAAGCATTTACAAATGCTGATTGTAGTAGTAGTAGTCGTAGTGGCATTTAATATTATCATGATCCTTATTGATTTTATTGTTGTTGCTGTTGTTATTGGTGCATCTAAACTGTAAACATTGCTGCTCTTGCCCGTGGGGTGGGGTAATGGTGGAGAGGAGGCAGGTAGTTGATGTCTATGGAGTTTTTCTTTCCAGAAAGAAAAAAAAAAAGAAAAGAAGGCGGAAAAAACTTCTTTTCTTTTTTTTCCTTCTGTTCTTTTTTTTTTTTTTTTCTTTCTTTCTTTTCTTTTCTTTTCTTTTCTTTTCTTTTCTTTTCTTTTCTTTTCTTTTCTTTCTTTCTGTCTTTCTTGCTTTCTTTTGCTGGTGATGGTGGACGATGGAGGTTGGAGGTGCCGTTGAGCTTCTCAACGCAAATACTGTTGCCAATTGCAATTGGCTGGGACGATTATGTTTATCAAGGCCTGCAAGTGAAGTGGAAGAAGTGGGCGGGAAGTCGGGTGGGGCTGAGAAAGACGGGGAGGGGAAGAAGGAAAAAACAGGAATGAGTAGGGAAGGAAAGTAATAAGGAGCAGTAGGAAGAGTAGAATTAAACAAAAGAGGAAAAACATGGCGGCGAGGGGAGAGCCGGGGAGAGAGAAAGAAATTAAAGAAGAAGAAGAAGAAGAAGAAGAAGAAGAAGAAGAAGAAGAAGAAGAAGAAGAAGAAGAGGGGAAAGATATAGGGAGAGAGCAGAAGTTGAAGAAAAAGACGAAGAAGGGTATCTAAATATGACATTTATGGTATTATATATAGGATTGGTAAGAAGAAGCAAAACAAAACAAAACAAAAAGAAAAGGAAAAAATAATGGAAAACGACAGAAAAGAAAAGCTTTATGTAGAAGGAAAATTAAATATTTAACAGAGAATAAAGAAGAAAGAGAAGAAAGAAAAACGCAAAGAGAATAAGGCGTAGAAGTAGAAATATATGATCTTAAGTAAAAAGAAGTTAAAAAGGAGGAGACTGAAGAATAATGAAAGAAAGAAAGAAAGAAAGAAAGAAAGAAAGAAAGAAAGAAAAAAGAAAGAAAGAAAAACAACGAACGTCAAATATTTGAAGAAGGAATATGAAAAAGAAAAACGTAATGAAATAGCAAATAAGCGATGAAAATAGAAGATAAAATATATAATGACAAAGAAAGAAAGAAAGAAAGAAAGAAAGAAAGAAAGAAAAAGAAAAAGGGACAAAGAGCAAAATGAAGGTAAAAAAGGAAAAAGTGTATGTAAAAGAAGGAACAAAAGAAATCGATTAAAAGAAAGAAACGGGGGAAAAAGAAAGAAAGAAAGAAAGAAAGAAAGAAGGAAAGAAAGAAAGAAAGAAAGAAAGAAAGAAAGAAAGAAAGAAAGAAAGAAAAAGGGAAAAAAGAAAGAAAAAAGAAAGAAAGAAAGAAAAAAGGAAAAAAAGAAAGAAAAACAACGAACGTCAAATATTTGAAGAAGGAATATGAAAAAGAAAAACGTAATGAAATAGCAAATAAGCGATGAAAATAGAAGATAAAATATATAATGACAAAGAAAGAAAGAAAGAAAAAAGGAAAAAAAGAAAGAAAAAAGAAAGAAAGAAAGAAAGAAAGAAAAAAAGAAAGAAAAACAACGAACGTCAAATATTTGAAGAAGGAATATGAAAAAGAAAAACGTAATGAAATAGCAAATAAGCGATGAAAATAGAAGATAAAATATATAATGACAAAGAAAGAAAGAAAGAAAGAAAGAAAGAAAGAAAGAAAGAAAGAAAGAAAGAAAGAAAGAAAGAAAAAAGGGACAAAGAGCAAAATGAAGGTAAAAAAGGAAAAAGTGTATGTAAAAGAAGGAACAAAAGAAATCGATTAAAAGAAAGAAACGGGGGAAAAAGAAAGAAAGAAAGAAAGAAGGAAAGAAAGAAAGAAAAGAAGAAAGAAAGAAGACGAAGAAGAAGAAACGCTAATAGCAGGTCAAAATCTAAGAAAGTAAAAAGCCAATAAAAATGAATTAAATATGGATTGAAAACGAAGAGAAAGATAAGGAAATGACGTAGGTATAAAGAAAGAGATATTGAAAGAACGAAGGAAAAGCTAAGAAAGACAATAAAAACAGTTAAAAATGAGAGAAAGAGGGAAACTATACTGGATGGTAAAAGAAAGAAAGTGAAAGAAAAGACATTATGGAGAATAATGAAAAACAAAACTCCAATTTTTACTGTAGAGTAGAATACATGTTACGAAATGAAACGACATAGATGTTAGAAATAAAAGCCAAGAAACAAAAAGTCTTCATAAAAAAGAAAGAAAGAAAGAAGGCATGAGCGAAGGAAAAAGGAAAAAGAGAAAATAATAAGCAAAGGAAATAGAAACTAAAAATAATTGGTGAAAACAAAGAAAGAAAAAAGAACGAAAACAAAGAAAGAAAAGAAGCATCGAACAAAGGGAACTCAATAATGGGAAAAGGAAAGACGCTTGAAAAAGCGTGTTACCAACAAAATACCATTATGAAGTAGTAAGTACTTAACGATTATTAGAAAGTGTAATCAAGTGCACTAATGACAGGGCTATTGATAAAATTGTGCTAATACCAACGAAGATAGATAAACATTACTTAAAATGCGAAACCAGTGTTGGTGACTTGTCAACAATAAGTTAAGTAAAAATCTAGATTTAGCATGAGGCAAGCGTACACCGAATCGAATCAGCGATGTTTCTTCACTCTCCATTAGATAATGTTGGCTACCAAAGGTTACTTTTTTTTTTTTTCTTTTTCTTTCGCTTTTTTTTTTTCTTTTTGTATGCTGTTTATCGAAAGCGGTGTCTGTACTGCGATAACGAATTAAAAAAAAAGAAGGTAAAAATAATAAAGTAATAAAATAAAGGAATAGCAAAGAAGAAAAAAGAGAAGATGAAGAAGAAAAAGAAGAAGAAAGAGGAGAAGAAAAAGAAGAAGAAAAAGAAGAAAGAGAAGAAGAAGAAAGAGAAGAAGAAGAAGGAGAAGAAGAAGAAGAAGAAGAAAGCGAAGAAGATGAAGAAGAAAGATAAGGAGAAGAAGAAAGATAAGAAGAAGAAGAAGAAGAAGAAGAAAGATAAGAAGAAGAAGAAGAAGAAGAAGAAGAAGAAGAAGAAGAAAGAGAAGAAGAAGTAAGAGAAGAAGAAGAAGAAGAAAGAGAAGAAGAAAGATGGGCAAAAGGAAAATGAATGAAAGACAGATTTGAATGAAGAAAACATGAAGGAAATGGAGGAGATATGATAAAAGAAATATTAAAAGACTTTGGCGGGAGTCGGGGTGCAAGTAATAAAAATAAAGCTTAATAAAAGAGATGTGAAGGAAATTAGATTGGACGGTAAGAAAAAAAAAATGAATAAACGCCATTACGGAGAAAGAAAAGGAAATTAGAAAAAAACTATTGAATGAGAGAGACACATGTAAGCGTATAATATAAGTCGAAAGAAATAGGAGAGGAAAAGAGAGAAAGAATTAAGAAAAATAAAGATTGCATGCAAGAGTTAGAAAGAGAGAGATGGAGCCAAAGAGATGTGAAAAGATGAAATGGTTCTAAGAAATGCGAAATTATTGATGAAAAGAAAGAAAGAATAAAGAAAAGGAAAATATGGAAAGAAGGCATGAACGAAGGAAAAGGTAAAAAGAGCAAATAATAAACGAAGGAAATAGAAGATAAAGATTGGTGGGGAAAAGAAAGAAAGAAAGAAAGAAAGAAACAAACAAACAAACAAACAAACAAACAAAGAAAAAAACAAAGAAAGAAATCAGTAATGAGAAGAAAAATGAACAAAGAAAAAGTGAAAGAAATCTAAAATCACATAAGGAAGGAAAAGCGTGATAATAAAAGAAAGAAAGAAAGAAAGAAAGAAAGAAAGAAAGAAAGAAAGAAAGAAAAAAAGAAAGAAAATAATAATGAAAAAGAAAAGTAAACAAAGAAAGAAAAGAATGAAGGAAAACTAAAATCACGTAAGGAAAGAAAATTAGTCAAAGAAATAAAATAAAAAAAATAAAAAAGAAAATAGAGAACGAAATGAAGACAAAAAACAAGCATAAAAAGAAAGAAAGAAAAAAAAAGAATCGATTAAAAAAACGGTAGTTAAAAAAAGAGAAAGAGTGTGTTTATGAAGAGAAAGCGAGACGTTGTTTGTTGTGTGAATGTCTTTTTTGTCCCTCTGACCTGAAAATTGTTTGATCTCTTCTCACTTCCGATTGGCTAAACTGACTGATGACAGTTTTTTCTGCTTGACCGGACGTTCTATTTTGGGATAAAATAAAGAAACAAACTGCGTGAAAAGAGAAGGTTGAAGGTGTAGGATTGCGTCGACACTTGCCTTCGGACACTGTCGGCGTGGGTGGGTGTGTGTGTGTACTTCTTGGGTGAGCGGGAGGACGAGATTGATTCATAAATAAATATTAAATACATATTCGTACTTCAGATATTGCAGGTTTTACAAGTATACGATAGTAGTGGGACAAAGTGAAATCGTTGCGTTTAGCACGGAAGGTGAATGGGTGGCCTTCAAAATTTTATTTCGATGATTCCGATTTTATCTGAGATTTGAATAACATCTTGGTCAACAAACTCTACCGAGACCTTTCAGGATAAGCAATGACTCTCCACAGCTTCCATATGTATTTTTTTTAAATACCATTTATCTTAAGCCACAGATTATTGTTATTGCTATTATTATTTCATATGATTTCTGTTGTATACTCATTTCCGTTCAGGTCCCAACCATAGACCTAAGGTCAGAAATGGTATCAAGGCATTTTACACGAAACATTTTTATAAGATAAAATAAAATAGAAATAAAACACTTAAAATCACGCACATTTTATATAGATAAAGCCCTTCGACGGGTGTGTCCTGTACTTGGGAGAAATTTTTTTTGATAACTTTAAGGCATGGGCTAACAGGAATTCCTTCATTGAGTTTATCAGAATATTTTCCAATCAAACCCAATGTCTAAACCACAAGTGGGATTGCTGATGTTTTCATGTGCTACAAGTTTTGAGATTTTCACTTCAAGATCTTTGTATTTTGATAGTTTATTGAAGATCTTCAAAGATTACAATTTGCAGGGACCGCCATGTCAATAAGAAACTACATTGTTTTTGTGATCATTGATCGCGATGTCTTGGCGATTAGCTTTGATTGTTCGATTTGTGTGTATTACAAAGTCCCACAAAATTGTTACGAGTTCGATCTCTGTAACCGGATCTGAGTGATGTTCATACTGATTTTTTACTGGCTCCTTTATTAATATTATGTTTATTATGGTTATTATATGAATTTCAATTGTGTTTTAAGAAACTTAATGGAGTAGTTTTGCGTTTCCTTCTCCATGGTTTGGTATTCAAAGTCGTCTTAGATTGGTTACCCTACAAGGCTAGAAAGCCCAGTCTACTCTGCTATTTAAACTATAGCTGGTGGAGAAAGGAATGGAGTTAATAGAGTAGAGTGGAATTTGAACTCGGATCGACGATTACACTTTCTGCAACGAAAGCCGGTAGGATAGGCCACATCTCCATTACTACGTGGATTTATTAAGTACAGTTTTACTTTTAGTTAAACTTGTATTACAATAAATCCTGCAGTCAATTAATCAAACTCAATAGATAGATAGATAGATAGATAGATAGATAGATAGATAGATAGATATGAACAGACTGAGATAGATAGATAGATAGATAGATAGATAGATAGATAGATAGATAGATAGATATGAACAGACTGAGATAGATAGATATGAACAGACTGAGATAGATAGATAGATAGATAGATAGATAGATAGATAGATAGATTTCATATAACACCTCCACCATGGGATATTTATGTTTTTTGTGTGTTTATTAATGTCAGTTTTTTCTTCTTCTTTTTCTTTTTGTATCGAACACTCAGTGAGGACCGAACTCGCTATACTCAGTAATTATTATCAGTCAGACAAGCCTCGCTAACCATTATTCCACGCCGAGATATGTTGGTTGATTTTACGATTTTTAAACCCTTGTTCTGTTATTTAGTTCCAAATTTTGTATGAGGTACTCAGTGAGGATCACAGTCATTACTCAGTAGTAATAGTCAACCAAACTATTCTTATTAACAATTATTCCACACAGATTGTTGGTTGATTGATTATACGATAGGTCGACCCTTGTCGGGTTATTTAATATTCGGAGTCCGGAAAACCGAGGTGTGGATCATCGAAGAAGGACTGTATTTTGAAAACTAAGGACAATAATAAATTTGAAGGGCTACGAAAACAGGAAAAGATCGTCTACGTCGGGAAGAGAAACGGCACATAGAAGAATGATTTTTTTAAAAAAATGCTCGAACTCTGCTTAATAGCATTGAGGTTAAAACCAAGAAAACAAAGTTGCTCTTCTGTTTAGTTTTCAGTTCCATCAAAGACTGAGGAGACTGAAGATCCGCAAAACCTCCCTGTAGTACACTTGAGGATACATAAAATTATCTTTATACAGAATATATATATATATATATATATATATATATATATATATATATATATATATATATATATATATATATTGTTACGAGGATGCATTTCTATAATAAGGGATTCCACTGAGTTCTACTTGTTACTATAAAAAAAGTTTTCATTCATGAAGTAGTTGTAAAATAGAGAAATTAGAAATAGAATGTTTGGAAGATTCTAGATCATTCTAGTATATTCGAGAAAAATCTAGATGATTCGAGAGACATCTAGAAATATGCAAATTAGGTGTTAGCCCCTATAAAAATGAGATTTTAGAAAAGGGTTGTCAGTTGATGAAGGGGAATTTCTGCTGTTATCAACTCCGGCTTTTGATTCGAGGACTATTATATCCAGCCGAAAGAATCTCTATAAAAATTTGCCGACCAACCAAAACCCAAAAGAGAATTTCATGGAACAAATTTGGTAAATAGAATTTTGACTAATTTTCATTGACCAAACTAAAAATTAATATTTATTTACACATCTTTGTGGATTTCCAAATATAGCACTTAGATTACTTCACTAGCCCTAAAGTGATAAAGATATTTGATTCCCTTTCCTTCTTCCTCGTAACACTCCGCCAGTAACTCTGTTTTTCTGTTTTGTTGGCCACAATTGTTTATCCTGTATATATTTTATGTTCTGTTTTAGTAAATTAAATATTTGTTTGTGATTTAGCTCTGTGTTGTGGTACATCTTTTTTTTTTTTCCTTTGTTACAATTATCAACACGTAACAATATATATATATATATATATATATATATATATATATATATATATATATATATATACATACATATACATATATATATATATATAAAATCAAGAAGAAAACCTTAAAGATTCATTTAGGTTATAATTTATTTCGTGAATATCTATATATTCATCTCTTCAGATCGAATAGTAAAATTTACTAAAAGATGTGAAATGATTAATATACATATATATATGTGTGTGTGTGTGCGCACGCGCGCGCGTGTGTGTGTGTTTGCACGCCCATATGTATGTATGTGATTATACGACTCACCTTAGGACCGACGGTTATGTTTGCAGGGCGGTGTTTCCGAAGAAAAACAAAATAAGCCGATATGTGTTAGTCGATGCAAGTGTAAATAGCCGTGGGTGTATTTTTGTCTTCGTTGATATCAATAATCGATGAGATCCTCAGTAAGATAAATAAGTCATAATCGATGAAAGGGACTCCGAAGATTCTATAGGTAATCGAGCAGGTAATCAACATTTCACTTGACAAGCACGAAAATGCAGGTATTAAAAAAAAGCTTACACAAGTCGGACACAAGGTAATGATAAGGGGCACAAGGTGCGAAAATTGAACTTACTGACTATAACACATGAAACAAACCTGTTAACCATCTCGATAGTCACTCAAGTTCGTGTAGATTGATATTTCCTCTACATTGGCTTGCCTGCCACAGGATATATAGTGATGAAACTGACGCAACTAACAATGCTCAAAGAAACCAAGCTCTAAATCAATTATGAGAATTTTATAAGAAGATTTATGTTAAGTTTTTGGGTTGATGGATTGTGCAACACAAAATATCTCTCATGATGATAAAAGCACTTCAATGGTGAAGTGCTTTTATCATCATGAGAGATATTTTGATTTGAAGGTGCGCTGCAAATTAATGTGATTTCTCACCTGGTTGTTGATTTCTGACAATACCCATTGGCGGGGCCCGATTTACATTTCTTCAAAACCCCCAGAGCCATTCTATGGTTTATGCTGGAACAACGCTTAACGGACCTTAGTCAGAGTTCATGTACGTGCCCCCCCCCCAGTGACAAATGCAGTTTCGAATTCAGAGTTGTCCTTCTCCTTTACTTGTTGCCAAACACGACGAGAACCTGAATGTTTTAGAGCAACGTCCATTCTAAGATTGGATTCACAAACTAAAACCCAGTGGAAATATTTAGATTAATAATTAAAAATCATATAAATTTAAACAAAAAATTATTTTGTTCCAATCAGCTGCAAGGGTTTGGCCTTAATGGAATTTGGAAACATGTTGTTGGAGACGCATTGTTGTCTTTCTTCTTGTCTTGTAACGGCATTCACCCGGGGTGGATTGAGCCGGCTCCAATATTGAAGTTTCATGGGAATTTGGAATTCACAAGCGGTCCCCAACCCGCATGTATAGAACATGAGATTTGATTACAGTGGTGAAGGTTTCGTGCAGGACCATCCACACTTTTCGAATGGCCGATTACAGAGACCTGGTGCACTACGTGCCACAAGGTTTCCAAACGACCCTTTGCAGGTTTTGAATTCAGAGTTTTCCTTCTCCTAGACCAGTTGCCATCCAAGGTTATAGAACCTAGTCTGCCCTGCTATTTACCCACAGCTGGAGAAGAGGATTCAAACCTTTTCCAAGGGTATTAGCACGTAAGTGAATGTAATGGACTCGACTGGAATTCGAACTCGGCTCTCCGATTCCTCAATCCAAGCTGCTATCCATTACTCCACCGTGCCTCCTCCACTCCTCCGTGCCTCCTCCATTCCACCGTGCCTCCTCCGCACATTGTTGGAGATACCTTGTAATTTACCTGAAATCTTTGACGATAGCCATTATTCTTTCTGTAAAAATACGATATCTCACGCATCCTTAGGAGTTAATTAAATAAATTCCTTTTCCTTTTTTTGTCCACTTAATTATCTGAGTTTCTTAGGAAATTCGTCTTCAGTCCGTCTTTGAGTCAACTTAAAGTGTCAGAGTTTTCGGGATTTCTGTCTCCAGCCCGCCTTTGAAATGGCAAACATAAAATATTGTCAATGATTTTAGATAATCATTAAAATGGTAAAATTATTATGCAATCATTTTATAAGAAAATTGATTGGTTCTAAATATTTTATAAATTTATTTCTATAATAATGCTGACCAAATATTTCCTAAGAGAGAGTCACAGTTCATGTACGTGTTCCGGCAGTGGCACATATAGTTTCGAATTCAGAGTTGTCCTTCACCTTTACTTGTTTTCAACCACGTCGATAAGCTAATTTGTCCTATTTAACCCACTGTTTGGGAGAGACGAGCTGGATTCATACCTTTCTCAAGGGTATTTTGTGCGAAAGTGAATATAGATATCTCGATCGGAATTCGAACTCAGATCGCGGATTTCTCCCAATCATTACACATCCACTTGTTGGGGTATTCAAATTCAAAATCGATATTATAATTATTACTATGACCATCATTGTGTCAATAGGTAAACAATGATCGGGTTTTTAAAGGATTATACTAGAGTCTATAACATTGAATAGAGTCTATAAACATTCCATTTTATCAAAAATATGAATAAACTTCACAAATTTTAACCACAATTTTGATCAGGATACACAACACCTTATTAAAAAATTGGAAAAATTCAATTATAAATGAAACAGATATTGTCACTTCTTTTAATCAAACTCATCACCATCATCATACTTGCTGTCTAAATATACTTTATATATATATATATATATATATATATATATATATATATATATATGAGTATATACTAGAGTACACACACACACACACACACACACACATATATATATGCTCGAAACCCCAACAATGTTGGTGTATCCAACAGAAACCTTGCCAGAAGGCCTAATACCTTCGACAAAAAATCCTGAATGGAATTAAAAACAAATAACAAAAGGTAAACACCTACATACTCAGTAAATTAAAATGCTCAACGCCTAGATGATCTAGACAGAGGAAAAACACTTCACACAACACTCAATGAAGGACAACTCGAGACACTACTCAAGTTTCACGCTCACACGATCTTCAAGCGACTACAATATATATATATATATATATATATATATATATATATATATATATATATATATATGCATAGCTGGCCATTTGTATTCGAGGATACACGTCTACTTGGGCGGCTAGCCAATCCCTATTACAGACGCTTGCTTAGGCGCATTTGTGTTTATTCAACACCCGCAGGGCCCACCTGTGGTTTATACTGCAACGATGTTGAGCAGAACTTAGTTACAGTTTCTGGCAAAGAGTGTGATATCTAGCGTGATCCACAATTTGAACAAGGCCACGATATATATATATATATATATATATATATATATATATATATATATAGGAATGGATTTTTCATTTATTAATCCGACTAATTTATTTGTTTAAATGTTATTTATAAGAGAAATGGCGTAATTTGGATGAAAAAGTACATTCATCAGCATTATTCTTTTCGTGATGAATGTAGAGCTATATTGGATGAACATGATGAACAAGATAGAGCTTGGCTCCTTCATAATAATAGCTACGCTAGATCACTTTTAAGAT